GCCCGTGCGCGCCGCTCGGCGCCAGCCTGGCCGCCTTCTACGGGCGCTTCCGGGCCGAGGCGGCGGCCGGCGGGGCGCAGCGCCTCGAGATCGTCTTCGTGTCGGCCGAGCAGGAGCAGCCGCAGTGGCAGGAGGCGCTGCGGGCCATGCCCTGGCTCGCGCTGCCCTTCGCCGACAAGCACCGCAAGGTGGGAGCCCCCCCTGCCCTCGGGCCGCCCCGTCCCCGCTCTCCTCAGGGGCCACGGTTGCGTTGGGGTGGGCGGCGAGGGGTGAAGCTGCATGTGCGCAGGTGTTGGGCTTCGTCCCCCTGCCCCGCCCCGCCCCGCCCCGCCCCACGCAAGCGCTGCGAAGGACCGTTGGTTGCGATCCTTCCGGAAGAACCGCGTCGAGACCGGGCGCCGAGGCTGTCGATTTTCCCACCTTTCAGCAGGACACCGAGGCGTGGGATGTCTTGTTTGCGACTGAAAACAAGTTTCCTTCTCCCCGCTTTCCGGTTGGGGCGCAGGGCGGGATTGCGGCCTGCAGGAAACGGCGGTGGCGAGCGTCGCGTGGGGGCGGTACCGTTATTGGGGGTCCCCCCCTTGCCTGGCAGTTATGGTTTTCCTGCTGTGACGTGTTTGCGTTTTCATAAATAATCACCCCAAAGGGGGAGGAATCGTGGTGTGTATATGTGCCATATGTACGTGTGTGTCAAAGCAGATGTGGTTCGAAGAGTCGCTGTATAAAACGGTCCCGTCTCGATTAAACGCCGGCTCCTAGACGGCTTTGTCAGCCAAGCGAGCGGCTGTGGCCCCAGTGTGAAAGCCCCGAGCCCAGTTGTAGGACTGGACGCACGTTGGCCAAATGCTCGTGCTTCCTTGGCGCTCTGCTGATGCCGGTGGGGTTGCACGTAGGCTTTGGGGTTCATGTGCCTGCTGGACTGGGCTCTTGGTTTTTGCCAGCCGCGTGCAGCCAGCGCAGCCGGGGGGAAAGCGACCTGCAATCTGCCCTGCTCCCTGAATCCCCAAACTGAAACACTGGCCGGACTCCAGCAACGATGCCCATTGTTGACATTTATTTAAGTGCTGATACGTTTGATGCTAAGAGGAGCTTTAATCCGGAAAGACAAAGAACAGACAATAAGATGCTGGAGGGACCTGGAGGGTGAAGGTTGCTGGAGGCAGAAAGGCTGCGGCTGGGTTTTCAGATTCCATTTTGAGTGTGCAGCGTTGGAAGTTGCTCTTTACAAATCTAAAGATAATCTGCTCTGAAAGCCGTTGAGAGAGGATGAATGGGGAGCCCCGCAGTGTCATTTTTTAAGGCACCTTTTTAGAGTATTACTACACAGTTTGAAAGCAGTGGGCATTTCTGTGTTGTATGATGGGAGGGCAGGCTCCTTTGTATCGGTTATTCAGTGCTTGCAGACGCAGAAAATAAATGTGCGCGGCTTGGAATGAGACCGAAGTCTCAGGTGAATGCTCCCAGCTCAGTCTTTGATTAAAAAGTTCGCCTAGAAATTCCCGAGGGGCCTGAGTTGGAAGATGTCGGATCCAGACTCTAAACCCCGTGGGGTGTTTGGAGCCTGAACCCTTCAGCTAGCACGTCCCTAGGATCAAACAGCCGACTGTCTCTCTCTGCCAAGTGGCTGCGAACCCTGTGCTTTTGGCAGTGTTTGAAGCTGGCCCCGTGCTGTAGGTGCATGGCACCTTAGAGGAGAAAGTTCAGTGGAAGTGGAGTTGTGAGTCTTAAATGCCCTGTCCTCCCAAAGTCGGGTCAAGCGTGTTTAGTGGGACGTCGCATGCTGGTTTGGGCGCCTTGACATAGGATGAATCACTAAAGCCCTCATTCTGCAAATGCTTACACAGTCTCTTATCCAGGTTGTAGCCGTATTGGTCTAGAGGCAAAAGGAATGAGAACTCGTGGTAGAGGTGATGATATCTTTCATCAGACCAGCTAGATTATTGCAAAAAAAAGTCTTTAATTGCAAGCTTTTGGGCACAAGCACCCTTCTTCGGGCACAAGCACCCTTCTTCAGGCAGAAGCACCCTTCTTCAGGCATAGGAGAAAAGCTTGTAAAAGGTCTCCTAGGTGGAAATGAAAGTTCGTATTTCATAGGAGAGTTGAAGGTGCGGTAAAGCTCCTGTACTTCCATTTCTACCTAGGAGAACTTTTACAAGCTTTTCTCCTATGCCTGAAGAAGGGTGCTTGTGCTCGAAAGTTTGCAATGAAAAGAGTTTTTCTGCAGTAATCTAGTTGGTCCTATAAAAGATATCACCTCTGCCTTGAGTTCTCATTCCTACAGAGTCTCTTGTCTTTTCAAGCCAAGGGGGCGACTCCTGTGTGATGTTCAGCACGTGCGTTAAGGCTCAGGATCGGGGCCTTATTTAACGAGGGGTTGGTAGGGGGAGCTTTATCTTGCACAGAAATCAAAGTTCTCGCTCTTGACCCTATTTTTGTATAAAGTCTCTTGCTAATATCAGCAATTTCAGGCAGTTTGCAGCTCCTTTTCCTTTCGGAGCACGAGAAGACTGTGGTTCCAATTAGAGGTTGGCATTCCTCTATAGAGAAAACTGAAAATTATTTAGCTGGTGGGAATTACATCTGGAAGATTTTCTTTAAAAGGTCTTCTCAGTTTATTCAGATTTGGAGAAGCTGTAAAAGTGGGAGGTGGCATTAACGTTACATTCTGGTCAATACCCTCCATCTACTAGATTGTGAGAAACCATTAAATAAAAGATTACGGGATCTTAAATCCTTACTCCCAGAAACCCCGTGTTATTTGGGCTTGTTTTGGTGCGGAGCACAAAGTAATTGAGGCTTGTGCTGTATATTTTCAAAACTAAGTAGATGTGATGTAGCTTTGGAGAAAGTTTAATCTCTGGATAACAGAGAGTCTGTTTGTAAGTTATAAGGCCAATTATGCCAGGATATCAGATTTCTAAACAGCAGATTTATAACCTGTAGCTCATGCAGTTAGAAGCTTCCTTGTAGAATAGGCTGATTTTTAAATAGTAAGTTGACTTAACTCATCTAGAAAAGCACAAACTCTCTGATTTTTAAGTAAGTGCCAGTGGGAATTGGGGGCACTTAATGTATATTCAGTACCTGGTGGGCCCTTGGCTGGTCAGGAAAAAAAAATCTGTATTGTGCTGGCGTTGAAAAGCCCCTGCTGAGCAAAGGTCCCATGGTGGGAGAAGCTGTGCATAGACATAGCACAAGCTGGTCCCTGCTCCAAAGCTACCTAGGCTTGACAGACCAAGAGCATTTGGCAGATGTGCAGCAGGCGCAGAGGGATCCTATAACTTGGTGAAGGTCATGCCAGGAGTCTCTGGCAAAACCGGGATTTGGGTTTGATCCTCTGAGTCACAATCTTGGCTGCAAGGCCGGCCATTCGCTGGGTACTTGATTCATCCCCAAGCTTGTGAGGCTCTGGGGAAGAGAGGGACTGGTGTTCTGCAAAGCTTGTTGTGCAGGAGCATAGTACAGTGGTAGGTGCTCCAAAATACCCAGTAATAGAGTAGTCACTGTCCTGGTTTCACATTTGCTTGAGAGCCGTTGGGAGATCCTTTCCGCAGAGCTGGGGTCTGGGTTTGATCTAATATATCTGCACTGTTTTAACTGCAATGACAGGTGTTGTCAAAATGCCATAGCAATTCACTTTGCATTTTGATTATTGCCCCGTGTGTTTTAAAATAGTCTTGGTAATATATTAAACAGTTAAACAAACAAACAAAAAAAACCTTTTCAAAAAAGCAGTGTAAAACTCGCACTTGTTCTTCTGTATGTTAGTGGAGGCTTGGTTTGGGAAGCCTGCTAGATCTGATGGATTTACCAGCACAATCCATGCTGGCTAGGCACCGACGCAGTTCAGTCCGATTCCACCCATACATAAAACTTTTCTTCTTCTGCAGTCCCTCACAGCGGAGGATGATTGTCTCCCGTGACAAACTTGGAAGACGTAAAACTAACAACCAGGAGGAGGAAAGTCTTGTAGGAAGAACCTTGTGCCGTGTAGTGAGTTTGATTGGGATACAGCAGATGCCAAAACTTCCTTCAAGCTGTTGTTATGGGAAAGAGATCCTGAGATGTGACTTCTTAATTGCAAAGCAGCTACAAACCTGAAGGCAGAAGGGCTGGGGTTGCATACATTGCAGGTTCAGTAAAATGCCTGGTGTATTTTTAGGTGCTATAAAATACAGCAAGGATGGTGTGCCAGCACGCCCCACAGCTCACACCCACAACTGATCTGTTCCAGGGGGAAAAGAGTTAAGAAAACGGTGTTAAGTCTGTGTGTGCATGAATGATTGTTTTGTTTTGTTGGAGGACATCCAGGGGGTTGCACACAAACAGGCTTCTTATGCTTTGAAACAAGCTCCCTGTTTATTTTGCATGACATGTTTGGTAATGGAGCACCAACGCTGTCTTCAGCGATGCCAGCTACGCTCCTTGGATAACAGTGTCGTCATGCAGCCCAGTGAGGAAGTAGCGCTACCCCATTTTCCAGATGGGGATCTGAAGCATGGGGAGGGAAAAAAAGCCCTTGTTCAGGGTCGCAAAGGAAGTCTGGGGTGGAGCCCTGGAGACTAGAACTTTTTGTCTTCTGCATCCAAAGCCAGTTCTCCTCTTGCCACTAAACCATTCTCCTCATCGGCGGCTTTACCGCTGCCGGTGTGCCACCCATAAAACCCTGGAACTGAATTATATCACATGCCGCTTCTGGATCAGTTGTAACTAGAATGAGCTGTGACCAGGTAATGTCTTGCCACGTCTATCTTTAGCAAACAGCACCATAATATCTGCATAGTGGTTAGGGTACCTATGGCAACAGTATAAGCAGTATGCAGAAACTGCGTCAGGTTCTCTGTCACGTACCACAGGCACCTCTATCCTTAGGTAAACTGGAATGAGCTACATAGATGACACATGCTTTAAAAACAAACGGAGAGCGAGCTAAATGGTAAGTGGCTAAAATACTCGATATCTTAAAATGTAAGAGCGTACAGAAGCTTGTTTCTCCCACTTGAAGCTCTGACACAACATGAATAATTTTCCCCACGTTTGTAAATCAAGACGTAATCTCATTCCGTGGTCGTTGGTATAAGCGGCGTGGTCTGTGTCACGGGAACCAGGCGCTCTTCATCGCCTACGACAGTAACTTCATAATTACCGAGGACATAGCGTTCTGTGCTACTTGCAGCCACCAGTGGAA